CTGGTAAAATTATTTTCTTACTTTCAGATACAGAGACAGTTAAATATAACCGGAAGAAGTCTATATGTTATTTCGTAATATACATATAGTGGTGAAAACAACCCGCTCTATGTAGAACAAATTAAGAAAGATGAAGAATTATGGAAAAAATCAATGGCAACAAATTTGGAACAATTTTATAAAAATTGTATACTACCAAAAATAATATACAAAAATATTCCACAGGGAAAAAGATGTATGGATCCACAATATATTATAGAAGCACAAATTAATAAAAAGAAATAATTCTATTTTATGATTTTTTAAATTTTTTCCTGTTTTACTGTACCCATTCTATTTATTTCTTTATTATTTTCGTTTATTTACATATTTATTAAACTACACTGTTCCACAGAATTTCTGTTTATATTGGAGGTATTAAACTACTTACAACTATTTATTCAAGTGAAGTGAACTGAATATTTCTCATAAAAAAAATAGGCTCAAATTGTCCTTTTGTACATAATTCTTTACACTATTTTTGGACAAAATAAGTATATCGCACATATTTTTCATATTTTCTCATCATTATGTATATTCACAGTTAAAATTCTATTTATATTAAAAACACGCGAATTTTATTATCAATTACTTATTATTAGTTATTAAATTTTTTTTTTCATTTCTGTTTATAGCAAAGTAAGCCACTTTATTCACAAATCGTAATTATAACATAACTTTCCGTTATGAACAACTTTTCTTAATTTATTCTTAACATTTTTTATATTATCAAAAACAAAAGCAGTTTATTCTTCAACGTTATTAATTTTGTTAAATTTCTGATCACCCTTTATAAATTACAGTTTTTCATGACAACCATATTCAATTAAAAAGCAAAATATTTTTTGTCACGAATTACTTTTTCTAGTAGAATTGAAAATAAAAATGTTTCCCTCTTATCCATTAACCGTAAATTATGGTTTTAAATAAACTAAAAATTGTTTATATTTCATATTTTCTAAAATTATATAATAGTATGGACTTGCGCTGTTACTTATATACTTTTATACAATAATATATCTAAAATGATCATAACATTCTTTAAATATTTACGTATCAATTAACAGAAACCATGACTATCAATTCAGAATCAGGTTATACCAAATTAACCACAATACAACAGCTGTTCGTTAAAAATAACCCGAGTCCATTCAAAAATAAATTTTTACTAGTGCGACATCTATTACAAATCAAACGAATTAAAGGTCAGATATAATGCTATTCATGAATGAATATTTTTTAATAATTTTATTCCAATATAACTTTTTAAATAATAAATTGTTGAACAAACTTTGAAATAAAGTCTAATCAGTTTATTTATTAAAAGACTATATAAAAAATTGCATAATACTATGAAGAAATAATCGTTTGTTTGTAAAAGTCCAAAAAACCTTTATATTTAAAAATTAACTTCTCACGAATTATTTACATATCCCAATTAATGTTTGCTTTACCGTCTTCATTTATACTTTGCCAAATGTGATATGAAATTTTACTACTTTCTTCCATTGCTTTAAAAAGATATATTGGAATAAAAAAAGGCTGTTTTCTACCATTTTTCGGTATAATTTAGGCAACCAGAAATGCATCAGTTTCCATCCTTAAATTAAAACTAGACAGATTATCACATAAAATTTTAAAATCATTTGTAGGTACAGTATAGCAATCGAAATTGAAGTACCACCACAAAGTAAAATGTTTATATTTGGCTTATAAATATATGTTTATCACCTAGTGGAGACCTATAACAACAGAGCATAACTGTATTTCCAATATCAAGCTGAGAAGATATGGCGCATATTTCAAAATGCTTGTCAATACAATATTGTATACCCTTGCTTGAAATCTGGGATTCTGGGATTATTCCGAAATCATAATTCATACACGCCACATAGTGGCCACCAAGAAAAAGCGCGTAACAAAGAAAACTTTTTACAGTAGCTAGTAGATACCACTGTTTGTAAATCTAGTGACCTTGTTTCCCCTACAGAGAAGTTATTCAAATAAAGTATAGTGCTCAGCTGCATTTAAAGTTCATTTAGTTGTTATTTAAGTATACTTTTTAAAATGACTTAAAATCCCAAGAAATAAAGCAAAATTCCCTATTTCCCCAATTCCAAAAAAATCTGTAGATCTGGCATCACTCTTTCTAGGGCTGCGGCTCACCTTAGAGAAATTGTGCTGCCCTCTGTTAAGGGATTGTATTAACATATCGGAATACCGGAGTCGGAATTGTATGTGGATCTTATTTGTGGAAGGGCGAAACGGACGGTGATTATGAGATGCCTTCATTATAGCCATTCTTCTCTATCGCACGTATTTCTATGACTTACTTTATCGCTCTCACGTAACGGCCGATGTACCATGGGGACTTTCCGAACCTGTATAATTTGAGATACCATTAAACAAGTGAGTTTTTCGGGGTTCGAAATACGTCATCGTTATTAGTTTTTGACCGTCCCAAATTTTTTAGATAGATTTTTTTACGGTATAAAGGCTAGTTCATGTTATGACGAAATTCTCAATTTTTATACGAAAAGAGGTAGCAGACACAAATTCCGGAAAAATTCAAATAATTTCAATTTTCTTATAAATCGTTGACTTGTGACACAACTCAGAACTGACATATAGGTAATGAGAGAAGTTATGTCATACCACTCCTTGAATATGAAAATAAACATTTTTTCAAAAAATATTGAGTGTATTACTACTCGTATTATATCCTTGAACTAGTAGTATAATAAAATGGGAGTAATTTATGACAAAGATAAAACAGAATGATAACAAATAAAATATGGTAAACATTTCCTAGAACGTTTCTATAATACTTATACTAACAACAAAATTTCGTGATATTTTTTTCTATGACTACCTAGCAAAGGCAGTAGGGCCAACACAGCTAAAATATTTATGCCCGTTTGCACCGTTTAGAATTTAAGCCAAGTTCAACTGAACTTTAATTTTAAAACTAGGTTTTAATAATCAGCTTTTGCACCACTTACTGCCGATTGTAGATTAGATTAAACTGGACTTTAAGTTTATGCGCGTTTGCACCGTAGTGTTTAACCCAGGATTAAGTCTGAACTTGGATTAAAATATAATTAATATAAATTTTGTTTGCACCGTTGCACTGAGAAAATGGCCAGCAAGTAATTTTCTACTTCGTAAATTTTCACTAGTAGGTACGGCATAATTTTTCACTAGAATAGTATATTTGTTTAATTGTAGGAAAATAAATTACTTTTCTAATGCCCGTTTGCAATAGAATTTAAGCCAAGTTCAACTGAACTTGGTTTAATTTTAAAACTAGGTTTTAATAATCAGCTTTTGCACCACTTACTGCCGATTGTAGATTAGGTAAATTAAACCGGGCTTAGGGGTTTTATTATGCTGCTAACTTATGTCCAGTTACGTTCGGAAAAAAAATGTCAGTCAAATTCTCAAACCTAACGTAATACCATCATCCTAGGAAATGATGCAATTTTATAGAACTATTTCTTTTGGGTTTGGCGTTTTTATGTATCTCTGATAAAGCCGAGCTATTGCAATTGATACCCGTACAATTATTCTGGACACTGTTGATATGCCCATCCCTGAAAAGTCTGCAATGGCAGACAAATGAGCAGCACAAGCATAGAACCGAAGAGCAGTCAGCAATTGTTGGATAGGAGACTATTATTTCTAGAAATACAAAATCATATTAAGAATAAAAGCTTTTTATAACTCCAAAATTCTGATTGCCAGTAACCCTTGCCAGGGTTACCAGATCGATTCCATAATAGAGCCGGAGAAATGGATGCCTAAAAAAAGGTCTCAAAAAATCTGAGTCAAATTGTGTTTTCGAAAAAATCGATCTTTAAAAAAAAGGACGTACTTCGGGAAATATCTACTTCTCTACTTCGTGACACACCTGGAGCGGAAAATAATTGATGTCTTAAAAAAAACGAAGGAATCAGGAAATATGGAGAAGAAAATCACGATTTTTTCAGGAAACCCGGAGAAATAGAAGATGTACCATCAAAACCCCAAGACTCCGGGTCATACTCGGAGATCTGGCAACCCTAGTTGCATCGTGTTCATGCCGACGGACGTGTTCGTAAAACTTACATGTCACTTGGATATTCTAACTCCTCTTCAATTAGCAGATGTAATGTGGTCTCTTTTGTCAACTTAAATCTAAATCTTTTATAGAGTTCCTGAGGTAGAGACAATAAAGTGCTCGAAACCTTGAACTGAATAAAGAGTCCTCTTTGTTATTTTGACTGGCATACCCTCTGAAATGCAACATTAAATTGTTTTTTTTATATCTTTTTGATATCGAAAGAAAGTTTCGTAAAACTTTGGTCTTTACCATTTCCTTAGATAGAAAGGCAAAAATGTAAGGGTATAGAATGTTATGTGAATGACTATGCACTTTTGGTACTCTTCAAATAATATACATGATAATGAATTATTTTACCGTTCCATATGGTTGTATTCGAGTAGTATTCATAACTCCATTTCAAACAAAAAATGATTATAAGCACATTTTTTGTGGCATTTTGTGTTTTAAGTTATTAACTATGTGATAAGCTAATTTAAAATTTAAAAAATTATAACTCAAAAGCAGCTTCAATGCTTTTGTCTAATTTTCCATATACTCAATGGCGTCTAAATTCTGTTACCACAGAATACTAAAAACCTGTTTTCTTGCTTTCATACTATTTTATCAATCCAAATTTCATCAATCTAAGTCAAACGATTTCAAAGATATTTGAATAAATCATTAAGTTTTTTAATCCAAGGAACAACCTCCGGAAGTTATAACATGAACTTAGAATACATTTCAGTCGTATACAGATAAATAGTTAAAAGCACTGCAAATAACTCATAACATTTATTTACAATAAACAACACAGCTTTAATTACAATCTAATGCTAGTCTTACTTATACCTACAGTAAATTCACAAAAATGTTACCATCAGTTTGCTTTGACTCTTGGTCGTCTGGTAAGCTTCTCCAGTATGTGTCCCTTCTGAAGTTCCGACATTAAATCTATCGAGTCTGCAGTAGCTGTATTTTCCAAAACTTTTAACTTGGCAAGTTTCTCCTGGTACGATCGATAAAATTCAGCTTTAACTTCGGGATGGGGTTCTAAAAATTTCAAAAACTCGTTCTTGTCCATAAAAAAAACTTCCGTGGTTTCCACCGCCGTCACGGCATAAAGCTGTCGCTGCATAATAAATGAACTCGTAGCAAAGTCTTCACCATCCTCCAAGTGACAAAGTTCAACACCTCTCTTGTTGACGACAGCCACGGTGCCGCTGGATATGAAGAAGAGGTCATTCAGTTCCGCCCCGCATTTCACGATGACGTCTCCAGGGGAGTAAATTTCAGACTTCATCATCGCTATGATGGCGCCAAGTGTCGAAGTGGGTAGCTTTCTAAACACATCTACTTTGCGGATCAACTTGTTTGCAGCAAACAGAAATAGCTCTGTTCTTAGAGTTTCGGAAAGACTGTCTATGATCTCATTTTCCTTAAAGAAGCGCCCTTGATGTTTGAACTCGAAATATTTAAGCATCCTGCGCCTCAAGCCCTCAGGCAAATTTTTCGCGGCCATGTATTGGTGTAAAACTGACATCTGTCTTTCGTATTTGCTTTCTGAGACCCCAGCTATGCCCAGCATGTTCAAAACGTCGGCTAAGAGAAAGAGAGTGTACAATCTTCCTACGAAAGATATTAAAACCATGCATATCTGTTCTGAGAACAATGTAATGGCGTGTCTTTCGGATACGCCGAAGAAGTAAGAGGAGGCTACAAGAAAACATTCGAAGTACAACTGGAAGAAACTAGTGAACTGTTCTGTTTTAGCATGACTTAACCACGACTCAGGTGGGAATTTGTTCGCATAGATCAAGTACGGTACAAAGAATACAAGGCAGGCGAAAATGTGAATATAGAGAAAGGTTTTTACCAAACAGAGTAAGACAAATCTCGTGATTTTACCCAATCCCAAATTGCTGAGCGTATTCTCCATGAAGTTTAACATGGTGTAAATCCTGACGCAGCAAGCTGACAAGCATACTATTTCTGAACCTTCCTCACATCTAAAAATGAATATTTGAGAACCTACTAGAATCTTATTCCTTATCATAAGCTTTACAATTAAAAATAACCAGTACGTGGTGAGGAAATCGAAAAAGAAATATGTCTTTAAATACCTGCAGATAATTATCCGGGGTTGAATGACTATCTCTTTGGATTTGTTGTCGATGTACCCGGCGTTGAAGAGCAGTGCTACCAAAATCACTCGGGAAGGGATTACTATGTTGTAATGCACCAGCTCGAAACCTAAGTGTATATTGTGAAAGTCCATCATCAACATAGACTCGCATACAAAGGCGTACATCCACATAACGAAAAACATCACCTCCAAAATTGAGTAGAGCAGGCTCAGGGGGTGTATAACTAAGAAATAGGGGCTGTTGGCGTGTCTTCTCTTCTCTGCCAGTATTGATGATTTGTTGCGGAATAGTCTTTTGCACATGAAGTGGTTTGAGTTTACAAGAAAGAGTTTCCAGACGTTCCTTGCCAGTTTTCTGTACCACTTTACGTTGGGGGCAAGTCTAGGCAGACCGTTGCTGTCGATTGTAGTCAAGCTGCACAAGTGCCGGTTTTTTTTCATTGTTGTTGTTGTTGTTGTTGTGCGGTATTGATACTGTTTGACAACATGCCAAATGTAGCACAGGCCACTACTAAAAAAAAATTGTCAGTTGGTTGACGTTTGACCTGCCATGTTCAGTAGTTTTCGATGGAGCACAAATGCTATCATATAACCTTGACAGCAAAATATGTTAATTGGGTCAAATATACCTTAGTCCAAAGTGCTTCATTTGCAAATTACGGAATGGTTAATTTTGAAAAAACATCACAGATATACAAATACCTCGAAGGTCGTTTATCATAGATTAATAAAACTTTTGTTGGGCTTTGTAGTTGAAAGCTTAACTATATAAAGGTAAATATTTACCGAATTTGTTTACAATTCAAGAATTTCTAAGCTATTGAGTAGGTACATATTTTGAAAATTCTGTACGTCCGTGTAATCTGCAATTGTATTTCAAGAGAAAAATATGAGTATAATCGAGTGGTTATTTTTTTAGTCTAAAATAATAATTATTAAGAATATAAAAAATATTGATGTAGAAATTTCAAATTTTCTGATAGTAAGGAACAAATTTATACTCCACTGAATTTTCTGAACTTTTAATAACTATATTTAGATCGATAGAAATGACTCGTTTAGAGGGAAAAAAAAAGAAAATTTTTAGTTGGACTAGTGGAAATGGTAAAGGGGCTTATAACAAACGAAAAAAAAATAAATGTGTGGGCAGGGGTGGCGGAGGGATAATTTGGGGGGTTAAAAAGTTGTGAAAAATTCATTCAATTCAAATTTAAAAAAAAATATGTACACCAATGGATCCTACGGAAAAAAATTATTATTTATTTTATTTATTTACTATTCGACTTTATTATAGTTTATAAGAATACTGTACAAAAATTAAATTTTGGGTTAAACAATGAGGCAGTTTTTTTTGTATTTTTTTCCGTATAATTGAATGGTGTAAGTAATCGGTTTTTGAATTTTTTTTAATTTAAACAAATTATCAACAATTACTGAAAAATTCATTGTTGCGTCATTTTTTTTGCATTATTGAGCATGTTTTTGAACTGTGATTACAGATTTTTTTATTTCACCAAAAAGTATGTGCGAAAACGAAAAAAATGATCACCGGCATAATTCTGTACGATGATTTTCCTAATTACCATTTTTCTTTGAAAAAATATGTCAGACCGGAAAAAATGAATATCTCGGAAACTTCTTGATTTTTTATTTAAAAAAATTGTGGTTATTTAAGACAGAAAGGTATACTTTCACCAAGTTATGTCAAAATTAAGTTAATTTTGCGGAAATGAGAAATAAAAAACGAAAAATCAGAATTTTTTTTCGCATTTTTCTCGGAAATTTTGAGGTTATCGTAAAAAGTGACCCTTACAAAAATTGTAGATTTTTGCATAATCTACAACTTTTGCATTAGATACTTTTTTGTTTGACATCAACTTTCGCCAGAAATCCCAATGATACAATATTTCACAACTTTTCATCCCCTTAATTCAATCCTCCGTCACCCCTGCTCACGCACTTATTTTTTTTAGGTTTATTACCGTTTCTACTTAGAAAAGTTTTTTTCCAAGTGTAATTTGGTTGGACTAATTACGTGTACATCTACTTGTGTTTGAAATAAAGAATTTATAATAATTTTTGTGTGGAACGAACAGTTTGAGAATTAGTTTCGATTTATTGATCGCAGATTATACAGGGTGTTTCAGGATTAAGTCGACAAACTTTAAGGAGATATTCCTCATAATAAAATAAAAAAAAAATCAAGTATAATTTTTTTCCAGAGACGCTTCATTTTCGAAATATAGGGCGTTAAAGATTTTCAAAAAATATTCGAATTTTTTAAATAACTTCTAAATGAAGAAGACTAGTTAAGCCAAATTTGGCATGGCACATCTTCTTATAAGATACCATTTTTTCATAGTAGTAGAAGTCCCGTAAGCAACAAGTGGCGGAGTTATGGGGACTCGGACTCATTAAATCATAAAAAAAATCAATACGGCCCTACTGAAAATAAAAAATGATGCTGTTTTTAGATAGAACAGTTTGTTATTGACAAGTGTACATTCACTTTTTTTCCAAATTCTTAGTTCCATGGCAAAATTGATTTTTGGGAAGGGTGTTTCTGGATTCTGTTGATAAACTTTAAAATGAACCTCAACAAAAATTTTCGAGTAGGCTGCTGTCAAGCAATGTTAATTTTACATTTAAATGTTATGTTCCGAATTGTTGCATAAATTATCCATTATCCATTATCTAAACTAATAATAAAAATAAATTTAATAATGCCGTCCATATTTTCGAACAATGAATATGCTGATATGGTCTTTGTATATGGTTTTTGTGATGGAAATGCCACGGCGGCTCGCCGTGAATATGCAGTAAGATTTCCTCATCGCAGACTATCAGCAAAGGAAACATTTTCAACGACATTCAGTCGTCTTAGACAAACTGGGTCTTTCGGTATTCCAACTTATGCTGATGGACATTTTACCCCACTTCAGGACGAAGTAAGATCGAATACTATTTTAAACCATTTCATTTTTGATTCACTTTTCGCTTTGTCTAGGTATAATATTAATTGGTAATTTTTTTGTTGTTTCAATTTACAAATAAATTTTCATATATTGTTTGCCATCTTATTTTATTTAAAAGTACACAAGTAAATCAAGTGACTACAAACCGCCTGAAAAAATTTAGGAGTATTGCAAGGGTCGTTACGTTGTCGCATTACGACATAGTCACATTAGATGTTAGGTACTTAAATATTTCTATTGTTTGAGCTAGAATCTCCGTCATTGATTACAAATTCATACAAATTCAGTGAATTTTCATTTTTATTTAGTTATTTCACCAGCCCATTTTTATTATTTTATTTTATCTTTCGAGATATTTGTGATGTTTTTCAAAAACTCTGTAATTGATATGTTTAGTTAATATTTTTCCCTCAGTATTATCTGATTGCATTTCTATTCCTTCATTTAAATACATTCTATACAGTAGGGTGTTACTCTGCCATACTCTGCCAAACTTGAAAGATGGATACTACGTCACACATCTATAAAAACAGTTAATAGTTAATATATATCCGTTGCTGTCGATTGTAGTCAAGCTGCACAAGTGCCGGTTTTTTTTCATTGTTGTTGTTGTTGTTGTTGTGCGGTATTGATACTGTTTGACAACATGCCAAATGTAGCACAGGCCACTACTAAAAAAAAATTGTCAGTTGGTTGACGTTTGACCTGCCATGTTCAGTAGTTTTCGATGGAGCACAAATGCTATCATATAACCTTGACAGCAAAATATGTTAATTGGGTCAAATATACCTTAGTCCAAAGTGCTTCATTTGCAAATTACGGAATGGTTAATTTTGAAAAAACATCACAGATATACAAATACCTCGAAGGTCGTTTATCATAGATTAATAAAACTTTTGTTGGGCTTTGTAGTTGAAAGCTTAACTATATAAAGGTAAATATTTACCGAATTTGTTTACAATTCAAGAATTTCTAAGCTATTGAGTAGGTACATATTTTGAAAATTCTGTACGTCCGTGTAATCTGCAATTGTATTTCAAGAGAAAAATATGAGTATAATCGAGTGGTTATTTTTTTAGTCTAAAATAATAATTATTAAGAATATAAAAAATATTGATGTAGAAATTTCAAATTTTCTGATAGTAAGGAACAAATTTATACTCCACTGAATTTTCTGAACTTTTAATAACTATATTTAGATCGATAGAAATGACTCGTTTAGAGGGAAAAAAAAAGAAAATTTTTAGTTGGACTAGTGGAAATGGTAAAGGGGCTTATAACAAACGAAAAAAAAATAAATGTGTGGGCAGGGGTGGCGGAGGGATAATTTGGGGGGTTAAAAAGTTGTGAAAAATTCATTCAATTCAAATTTAAAAAAAAATATGTACACCAATGGATCCTACGGAAAAAAATTATTATTTATTTTATTTATTTACTATTCGACTTTATTATAGTTTATAAGAATACTGTACAAAAATTAAATTTTGGGTTAAACAATGAGGCAGTTTTTTTTGTATTTTTTTCCGTATAATTGAATGGTGTAAGTAATCGGTTTTTGAATTTTTTTTAATTTAAACAAATTATCAACAATTACTGAAAAATTCATTGTTGCGTCATTTTTTTTGCATTATTGAGCATGTTTTTGAACTGTGATTACAGATTTTTTTATTTCACCAAAAAGTATGTGCGAAAACGAAAAAAATGATCACCGGCATAATTCTGTACGATGATTTTCCTAATTACCATTTTTCTTTGAAAAAATATGTCAGACCGGAAAAAATGAATATCTCGGAAACTTCTTGATTTTTTATTTAAAAAAATTGTGGTTATTTAAGACAGAAAGGTATACTTTCACCAAGTTATGTCAAAATTAAGTTAATTTTGCGGAAATGAGAAATAAAAAACGAAAAATCAGAATTTTTTTTCGCATTTTTCTCGGAAATTTTGAGGTTATCGTAAAAAGTGACCCTTACAAAAATTGTAGATTTTTGCATAATCTACAACTTTTGCATTAGATACTTTTTTGTTTGACATCAACTTTCGCCAGAAATCCCAATGATACAATATTTCACAACTTTTCATCCCCTTAATTCAATCCTCCGTCACCCCTGCTCACGCACTTATTTTTTTTAGGTTTATTACCGTTTCTACTTAGAAAAGTTTTTTTCCAAGTGTAATTTGGTTGGACTAATTACGTGTACATCTACTTGTGTTTGAAATAAAGAATTTATAATAATTTTTGTGTGGAACGAACAGTTTGAGAATTAGTTTCGATTTATTGATCGCAGATTATACAGGGTGTTTCAGGATTAAGTCGACAAACTTTAAGGAGATATTCCTCATAATAAAATAAAAAAAAAATCAAGTATAATTTTTTTCCAGAGACGCTTCATTTTCGAAATATAGGGCGTTAAAGATTTTCAAAAAATATTCGAATTTTTTAAATAACTTCTAAATGAAGAAGAC